TGACAAATACACAGCGTCATGTGTCCAGCACCTCCGTGCCATACAGAACAGTTCCATCGGCCCCTCACTGTCTCCTTGTGTCTCCTTGTACTTCAGGCTTCACACTCCTCAACCTTCAGCAGCCCCGGATCTGATTTCTGTTTTTTGTTCTGTCTGGCCCAGGGGTGGGTGGCAACTTTTTGTTTGTTTTGAGGTACAAAGTTTGCTTGTAAGCGGAGGTTGCCATGCTCTGTGATTAGAGCTGACTGACAGCTGGAGGCAGGTCCCACCCTGATGCTTACCCAGCCCTCTGTGGTCTTAGTGTTCTCATCTGTAAATGGGCATAACAGCAGTCCCCACCTTCTGGAGGTAGGGGGCATATGGGCAGGTCTGAATGAGGTAAAAGCTGTTAGCACCGTGTCCGGCCCACTGTAAGTAATGAGGAACTCAGTAATAATACTTCGTGTTTGTTATTCTCCCCATCTCCATGATGAGGTATGAATAAAAGAACGTCAGAGGCCAGATCTTGCTGCCCTCTTGGGCTGCTGGGGCAGGGCCCCCTCCCTGTGGGGGCTGGAGCAGAGAGGGTCCTCTGGCGCTTGTGGTACTAGAATTATCTGTCATTCATTCACAGATTGATCTCGGCAGGGAGACTTGAAGGTGTCATTTTGGTTCTTCTTCCACTTCCACGCTTTTTTTTTTTTAACTGAGAAGATAGTATGACAGCACAGCAGGGACTTCTAAAGATGTAAATCCGGACACCCACGGGGACTCGTGTTTTGGTAGCTGCTGCCTCCCCATGCCTGAATTTTTACACAGATACAGACTTTTTATTTATGGTATCATAAACATCCCCCCCCCCTTTCTTGCTACGCAGTGTTCCTAATGACATTTCACGAAATATGACAGTTTCCTCGGGGGCGGGTCGCCCTCCGTCTCTAAACCACTCCCACTGGTTCGGTGTGGCGGGTGCAGTTTCATGCGTGGCATTCTTTGCTCCTGCTGATTTTTATTTTCCTGAGATTTCTTTCCTAGGGCAGGAATCTTCTGTCGAAGAGGCTAGGAACATCTTTGTGGCTTTATTTGTACCATTTTACAGAAATAAACCGTGATATCCTTCTACGTGTATTAATCTGTATTTCATCAAAATGCACCGGTTCGAGGCTGTGATCAAACATCTGGCCGAGGGTGCCAGACTAGTGCTCCCACAGCTCCTTAATATATTTATCATCCAACAGTGTAACTGACCTTTTCTGAGAACCACGATCTCCCCCTCGCGCCTGCTGCCCCTCCCCCACCCCGAAACTTGGAGTTCTCTTCCGGGGGACCCGTGGAGGGAGCAAGTCTCAGTGACTTTTCTCTGAAACCCCTCCTTTATTTACTTTTGGAGTCAGGACTTGTTTGCATATGTAAAACCAGGACCATATTGTTTCCAGATGGGAGGGGTGTTGCCAGATAATTGGATGCAAAAAAAGAAAGAAAGAAAAAAAAAGTTGAGGCCTTTAAATCGTTTTTACAAACCTGGACACAGAACAATATTTTCTTAGAATTAGAGAAGAAAAGGCGAAGCATGGAAATAAAGATTGTGGGATTGGGTTTCTAATTCAAACATTTCAGCTTGTGTTCATAGCAGTGGCATTTCAAACCCACAGAAGTGAAGGGTCTGGAGAGGGAGGATGGGGGGGCGGGGGGGGGTTAGGGGACTTGCAGAGGAAACACTAGATTCACCATCTAATCCAGAGGGACACGCGTGGACGGAGTTAGAGTCCAAACGAAAACTCGTTCCCATTACGCTAGGACCCCACCTACTAGCATTAACAATAAGGTTATCCGCACCACCACCACCCCCCGCCCCGCCCTCCCCAGTTTCCTGTTTAGTTTTTTATTTTACGATAAGAGCAGTTTGGAAGTAATTGTGCATCCTATCAGTATTTGATAAAGCCTCCCTCCCTTTCAGCCGAGCGGCCCGGAGGTGAGGGACTGTCAAAGGCGAGCTGGGGTTTAGCCTGAAATGCTCCGGTTTCCAACCGGGAAGCGAGTGCGGCTTCCAATCCGTCTCGCGACGATAAAAACAGAGGAGAGCGTCTGGCACAAATTGACCGGCTGAAACGCGAAGGCTGGATAGGTTTGCCGCGTGCATTTTGAAATCTGTAATAGTATCTGCAAATACGGCGGGGGTGGGGTGGGGGGTGAGCTCTGAGGCCCTGCTCCGGCCGGTGTCTGCATCCGCCCGCAGCTTCCACCCTCCAGTTCAGAGGCGAGGATTGCTAGTGGGCGACCGGGCCCACCCAGCTGGGGGTGGGGCTGGGGGTCGGTGGTTGTAGGGCTGGGAGGGTTGCTGCGTGCAGCTGCTGCGCTGGAGGAGCCGTTCTCACTCCGCCCCCCCTTCCCTGCTTTCGAGAGCCCAGGGCAGCTCTGGGGGCCTCTGGAGCCTTGGGGCCCGCGCTACTCCTAGGGTCGCTGTGGGCCAGGTGCACCAGAGCAGGAGTAACCGGTAGGGGTCTAGCTGGGAGCCTGCGTCCAGAAGCCTATCCAGGTTTTGATTTCTGGGGCAAGCTGAGGCCTTGGGGGGCTGAGAAGGTGGGGGTGAAGATGGGCAAGTTAGTGCATCTAAAGGCATACCCTTCCCCACCCCAAACACCCCCCCCCCCCCGGGCCCCCCCCCCCATTCGTGGTACTTCTGCCATTCAGCTGGGGTAGGGGGGGCATGACCACAGCCCGGTGTTCCCTCAAAACCTGCAGGCCTTCACCCCATCTCTGGTGGGTACCAGCCTCTGTGGCTCATCTGTAAAATGAGGGTGAGGCTGGCAGGACTGGAGGTGGACCTGGAAGTACCTGGCAGGTGAGCTCCTGGTGCCCTGCTGTTCCAGCCAGTGGCAGACCCAGCTTGGCTGAATTCCCAGCTCCTGTGAAATTTCCAGGCTTGGTGCTCGGGGGCTCAAAACTGGGGGTGCCCTTCTCACCTCCTCTAAAGCAAAGCTTTAAAAATAACAGCTCGGAGGACATCTGGGTGGCTCAGTCGTTAGGCGTCTGCCTTCTTCTCAGGTCGGGATGGAATCAAGTCCCGCATCGGCTTCCTGCTCAGCAGAGAGCCTGCTTTTCCCTCTGCCTCTGCTGTGTTCCCTCTCTTGCTGTCCCTCTCTGTCAAATTAGTAAATTAAAAAAAAAATCTTAAAAATAACAGCTTGGTGGGCGCCTGGCTGGCTCAGTCTGTAGATTGTGTGATGCTTGATCTCAGGGTTATGAGTTCGAGCCCCAGGTGGGGCACAGAGACGACTTTTCAAAAACAACAGTTTATTTGCTTGCTGTACCGTCTTCAAGGTATCTTAAATTTTTATTTACTTATTTTTATGGAGAAAGATGCCATTTTAAAAAAAGATTTATTAGTTTGTTTTGAGAGAGAAAAGGATAGAAAGGGAGTGGGCACAAGTGGGAGGAGCAGAGGGAGAAGGAGACTCTCAGGCAGACTATGCTGAGCACAGAGTCTGATGTGGGGCTCGATCTCACGACCCTGAGATCGTGCCCTGGGCCAGAAACACATGTCAAACACTTAACCCGCTGAGCCACCCAGGAACCCCGAGAAAGATTATATTTTTATGTTTGAACCTTCTGGTGGTAGTATCACATTTTGTCATTCAAGTTATCCCATTTGGGGTTTCCTTTGTTTTGGAGGGAGATTTTTTATTTGTTTGCTTCCTAGGGAAAAGTTGATACTTTATTTTTATTTTTTATTCTTTATTTTTTTGGTTAGGACTCAAGTCTTTGCTTGCTTGGGGATTATGGGCCTGTCATTTCACTCTTCTGAACCTGGCTTTGGGTTTGGGGACTAATTTCTTTATTTTCCAAGCGAGTCCCCTGTGTGCGAGGTAGGGAGGTAGGGACGGTAACCCGGGCTTCCGAGAGTTTCCTCCCACAGGCCCATCAGGTGATGATTATGCCTCAGCTGGACTACAAGTTAGCAGAATAGTGGAGCTGGGATGTTTGATCCTATTTCTGGGGTAATTCTTTTCCCTTCCCCCAAATCTACCGCAGGGCTGGGCATGCATAGAGATTCTTGTTCAATGGACTGAGCCAAATTTTCTAGGCCAAGGATCCCTGCTGGTAAGAAGGAAGGAAGATGTCATCAGGGTGAATTAGGACTGGGCCTGGGGTCTGATGCCCCATGGGCTGCAAGGGATGCAGCAAGGGGGCCTGGGGTGTCCTGGGTTTGGGTCCCATCTAAGGACCAAGGGTTGGGTGCCAAGGCCCAGCCTCCCTCTGCTCAGCCCTCCCCTCTTCACAGAGACTACATGGTCACTCTGACTTTTCTGGATTCACGTTTGAAAATGCTATAACAGGGACACCTGGGTGGCTCAGTGGTTAAGCATCTGCTTTTAGCTCAGGTCATAATCCCAGGGTCCTAGGATTGAGCCCCGCATTGGGCTCCCCGCTCAGCGGGGAGCCTGCTTCTCCCTCTGCCTCTGCCCTTCCTCCTGCTTATGCTCTCTCTTTCTCAAATAAATAATAAAATAAAATCATTAAGAAAAAAATTAAAAATTTAAAAAGAAATGAAACCGCTGTAACAAAGCAGAAACTGCCACCTTTTCAGGGACTCCCACGTGATTGTTACACGTTTCTTTCTTTTTTTTTTTTTTTTAAAGATTTTATTTATTTATTTGACAGAGAGAAATCACAAGCAGGCAGAGAGGCAGGCAGAGAGAGAGGAGGAAGCAGGCTCCCTGCTGAGCAGAAAGCCCGATGCGGGGCTTGAACCCAGGACCTGGGATCATGACCTGAGCCAAAGGCAGCGGCTTAACCCACTGAGCCACCCAGGCGCCCCTACATGTTTCTTTTTGTTTCTCCTCTTGGACTAAAACTAGCTGTAGCACTTAACCACCTTGTAAAGAAAATATGCCCAACAGTACCACCCCCACTGTTGATCTTTCCAATACGGTGGGGTTTGCTGATTTTTCCACTTTTGCGCCTGTGCACTCTCAAACTCATGCTCGTTTTTTTTTGCCCCCCCCCCCTTTCCGATTCAGAAGTTGGAGGGACTGGCCAAGCACCGGACAGTTCGGGAAGCACCGACCGCGTGTGTCTGCCCACCAGGTAAGTGGGTGTTTGATCTTTGCGGGCCCCTGACTTTCGAGGTCCGGCCTCCTGTCTCCTGTCTGCTCAGAACTGCCAAGCACGTGGTCTAGACGCTGGCCCTGGGTTGTGGCTTGTGGACCATCTGGGGGGATCTTTCTACCTTTGTCTTCCTCTGACCAGCTCACCAGTCAAGGATTCTAGCCAGGTTACCTGACCTGGTTTGATGAGGATGGTGGTCTATTAGAAACTGTTAGAAGTGACTTGTGCTGTCACTCCATCCACCAGCCACGGGGTCTGGCTTTTCCCCATTTACTTCAGCTGGCCGAGACCTGAGGTTCCTTGAAAATGACCTTCTCCATATTGGGAGATGCCCTGGGATTTCTGCATAGGTGGACCTCGCAATGTGAGAATCCACTTGGAGAGGATTTTATGGGCTGGCTTGACTTAGTCTTTAAGAGGACCTCCTACATTTTAACAGGAGGAACAAGGACTTGACAAGCAATGCCGTCATTAGCAGACCAGGAAGTCAGACATTTGATTCAGTGGGGAGAAAAACAAATTAGACCCACAGATGAGTTTTTGGATAGAACAGGAATGGTTCCTGTTGTATTTCTTTTGTGTTTTCCCCCCCTTCCTCTTTCTGAGTGCTGTGTGGATGTCGATTCATGTGAGTTATGTGGAGAAGTATTTTTTAAACTGGGAGTCACAAAGCGTTCGTAGGATAGGAAATCAGTTCCGTGGGCTGCAGCCAGCGTTTTGAAATTTTGAACTGGCTGTAGACTGGAATCAAAATGTATTGGAGTGAAGTTTTTCCTTGAGCTATTTTATTGGAGTGTATGACCTGGATGGTGATGGAAATGGGTTTCCTGCTATGCGATGCTGACTGGAAGTTTGAAAGTCCCAGATACAGATGATTGGGGGGTGGGGACGCAGGGAAGGGGCACAGAGTTCCTGGGTTAATCTAAGTTGGGCCCAAATCTTGGTCTGCCGTTTATTAACTCTCAGGATCTTTATCGAGAATGGATAACAATATGGGAGTGGGCTCTGTAGGCTTTTTTGAGATTCGTATTTGAGTCAAAGCCCATGACCCGGAGACAGTCCTGTGACCTGCTTTCCCTTGGTGGGGGGGGTGGGGAGTCCTGAACCACCAAGAGAGGCTCCAAGAGGGTCCCAGCTTTTTTCCTAGCACTGAAAGCCTAAACGGACTCCCTTACCCCCCAGCTCTGATCTGCCCTGCAGACTTTTCGAGTCTGGACCCGCCCTCTGCAGCTTGGGGCTCCATCTGATTTGAGATGCTTCCAGTTGCCCACTGCCCCCCCATGCCCAGCCAGTTCCTTCTCACGGCCTGGAGACTGTGTGATCTTTTGTCAGATCCTAGGAGGTCTGATAAAACAGATAAGCATGGCCAGAGAAGGGAGACACCCTCTGTGTGCTGCCCATTGTGCAGTGGGCCCTCAGCGGGAGCTGTGGAGCCAAGAAGGGGGGCAGGCCTTTTGCCCATTCCCCCCACCCCCTGCCCAGCCAGGGGTTGGAGGCCTGGCAGGGCTGTGCCCTGAAATGGCCCCGTGACCTCAGACAAGGGAGGGACCTGTGCCTTGCTCCTCTTGTCATCTATAAAATGGTGTAGAGGGTTGAATGAGGTCATCTAGGACTGAGGGTGGGCCCTAAGTCCAATGACAAGTGTCCTTAGGAGACAGAAGGGAGAGGTTTAAGACACAGACACACAGAGGAGAAGGCCTTGGGAGCACTGGGAATGATGCACCTAAAGGCCAGGAACGCCAAGCCTTGCCCATAGCCACCAGAAGCCGGCCAGGGGGTGTGGAGGGGGTTCAAAGAGAACCAGCCCTGGTGGCACCTTGACTTTGGACTTCTGGCCCCCAGAACTATGAGCGAATCAGTGCCCCGCCATTTTAAGCCATCTCATTTGCGGCAGTGGGTTGTGGCAGCTCAGGAAACTAGAGCGGGCTGGAATGCAAATCACCCCGAGGACCTGGAGCTTGCGGAGGGGGAGGATCGAAATCGGGAGCCCCCCTCCCCCATGCCACCAGTTTTCATTCACCTGCCCAAGGAGACCCTTCTGTACTGCTTCTGCAGACAGCTCCAGGCTTTAGACACACGTCCCTTGGGGTAACCCAACACCCTTTTCCCGTGTGACCTATGTATTTACACATTGAAAAATGAGCTGGAAGTTCAAAAAGTTTCCGTAGTTTCAAAGTGGTCATTTTTGTGTAGGAAGTGACATATGACGTGATTGGAAAAAGTGCAGGGACTGTTAAAGATTATCCGCAGAGAAGGATACTCCTTCCTCGTGCTCCCCAGTTCTCCTGCTCGCCTTTCTAGGGGCTCGGCCAGCATGCCCCTGTGCTAGAGCAGAACTTTTGCCATATCCTGCAAATACAGCGGCCACTATGGGCCCCCTATGGCTGCTGAGCCCTTGACATATGGCCAGGGCCAGTGGGGAACTGAATTTTAGAATTAGTCCTTAATTTTCATTTCAGCCACCACACATGGCTAGTGGCTTTGGTATCGGGCGGCTGGGTTTTGGAGGTAGTGCCTGTATATTTCAGACCGGGCCTGGAGGTGTCAGGCTGGATGGACAGGAGCCCGCAGTCTGTTGGGGGAGGCCCCGTGCCCTCAGAGCAGCAATTCTAGAACTGCAGGAAGGGCTGGGATTCCCTTAAGGCTGTCCTGTGGCAGAGGAAGGCACAATCTGGTCCCCTTTTGTGCTAAGACCTGTCATGACCCTGGAGCATCCTAAGGGAGGGGTCGGGACTGGCTCCCAGCACCTTAGAGCCGAAGAGCCCTGGGTTTGACGTGACTCTGTGATGTGGTCCCATCTGGCACTTCCTGGGGTGTTACTGGTCCTTGCAGGAATTAACTCTGCTAATGCCGATCGCTGAGTTAATTGGTGTGCCTGGAGTATGGGATGCATTGATCGGCAACGTCTGGGTCATGTGCCTGTTCTTGGATCTGGGGGAGCCCCTTGTTGGGGGGATTGACCCCCCCAGAACCACGTGGGCTAAGAATGGGTAGGGTAGTGACCACAAGGGGTATTCCCAGGGTGCTTCTTCCCAGAAGAAGACAAAATAGATTTAGCTGGGCAGTCATAAATGAGAGCTTACCACTCTGGGGGGCAGCTGGTCAGCCCAGTCCAGGGGGGCCCTCAGCTGGGGACAGTAGACAGAGTCTGGGTTTGACCAGAGGCTTGTCTCCACTCTGGGCACAGAAGGGCAGTCTTTTCCCTCTGTTGAACTTGTCCAACAGTCTGCCCGGCCCAGTGACAAAGCGCGTGGACTCTGGGTGCTGACTGCCTAGTTCAAATTTTGTCACTCACCAGCTCCATGACCTTGGACACTCACCCCCTTCTCCTCTTGCTGCCTCAGTTTCTCATCTGTGAAATGGGGTTTCCAGTAGAAGCAACATCAAAGGATTGTCCCAAGGATTGGATCAGTTTAATGCATGTAAGTTGTTTAGGACAGGACCTCTCCTGCTTCCCGAGAGTGAGCTGTGGTTACCATTAACTCAGATCCACCGTGCCCAGGCTAATCCAGACCCACCCGCGCAGCCTGTTACCTTCTCGATTCTCGCTGATGTCTGGCAGGGCTGCCAGAGAGGTGGGGCGAGGAGATTCCAAGTTAGTGGTTATCTGGGAATATTCTGGAGGGAAAGAACAAAGGCTTGGCACACCGCATTGGCATGTTCTGCTGGGACGTGGGTGTAAAAAAGCTGGTGACAGAGCCCAGGAGGGAGAGAACCGGAAGGGAACAGGAAACATGTAACCTGTGAGCTCCTGTTAACCACTAAGGGCTTCCAGAAGGAAGCACACAAAACCTGGGGCTCTTATCCCTTTACTGGTCCACACCGTTTTCCACCCTGGTTTCCCCCTGCCCTGGAAGTTTGTTAGGAACGTTTCAGAAAAGTGGCAATATTTCTCTCTCTCTCTTTTTTTTCCTGTGCCCTTGTATAACATACCAGAGATGTTGCCTGTCGTTTACCAATTGTGTACACCAGTGAACAGATTAATTGGAGTTAGAAACACGTGGCTCTGTGAGGGTGTTTGGAAGTTTGAGCAGAGGAGTGAAACCCTACAGAGGAGAGCCTGGTGTCCAACCTGATAGATCTCCTTGATAGTTTATGGCAAATGTTACCGAGTGGAACGGAAGTACAAGTTACATGTGTTCAGCCTGTTTATTTGTTGGCATAGCAGAGAGCTTCATGAAGGGTGCGTAGCAAAGAGCTTCATGAAGGAATCATTAGTCCCCTTTCTGAATTATTTATTCAGAGAATTTTAAAAATAACACTTTTTTTTTAACCCGCTAAAGCCTCAGTGGCTGGAATTTATGGTACAAAACAGTAGCTTGATGGCAGTCCTCCCGCTGTGTCAAACTGCACAGAGTTGAAGGAGTTAATTTGTGTGTCCTATCTTGTTTGCTTGTTTCTTGGCTGGAATACTCAGGAGGAAGGTCTCCAGAGCCCGCTCCATTATGCCTAAATATTTGTGCCTTCTTTCGTTCATCTCTCCCTACCCTCATTTTGTGCTTTCCCTGGGCGATATTGACAGAGATTGGGAGAGACATGGCGGAAGAAGCATGTCGTTGGAGGTCATGGGGCTGAATCAAGAACCTTACCGTACTAAGAATGGGAAGAGTCTGGAGAGAAAAAAAGTCTTGCAGAAGAGGAAAAAAAAATGGAGATCGTCCCAGATCAGGAGGACCTGGGCAGGGGGAAGATGATAGCTGGGCAGGGTTTGGAAGAGCGTTTGGCATCTCAGCCAGCTGGGACAGGGAACACATGCCACGATCCCACCACTTGGAGCAGAGGCAGCGGTGGGAGGTCAGGGCGGGTCCTGGTTAGAGAGGGATGTGGGTCTTATTCCAAGGGAAGACACGGCTGAGGGAATGGCAGTAGAGTTCAGCATTAAGAGGATCCCAGAAACAGCTCAGAGTGAGGACTGGGGACAGATTTGGTTCCTTCAGAGAAGCCCCTGGAGAGGGTCCTCTGGGTGGGGATGGTCTTTG